GAAGGCCGACTGCTGAGCATCCGCATTGCGGGCTGCAGCCGCCAGCATCGATCAACACCTGAACATGAGATTCAATATGTTCTGGACCTGAGAGCAAAGCTGCACACATTGAGCAGATTATATCAGGAGGAAATGTTAGCAGCACCTGTACAATAGAGTCACTAGGCTCAGGCAATTTTCACTGAGACATAGTACTTGTATTACTTCCTTCTTCTAGCTCAAAGTTATTCGCCAAGTGGCAAGGACACTTTGTGCGATGATATTTTTGGACAGGGGAGGAGTCACAGAGATATTTCACCTCAACCTGACAAAAGCATGGAGAGAGGCTGAAGGCCAGAGGTGTTCTGGACCCTACAGGTTACCTGAACATAAGAGAAAAATTGTACAGAAGGAATTGGCTGAAATGCTAAAAATATAGTAATATTAATTAAACTAATGTTATAAATATTATAAGAGTCAGACAGTGCGAGGTGTAGCCCAATAGATTTTGTGGTAAAGAAAGATGCGTCTATACGGTTTTGTGTTGACTACTGCAAGGTGAATGAAGTCTCAGAGTTTGACACTTATTACATGCCCCAGGTTGACGAGCTCCTGGACTGGATAGGCTGGTTTTTTCACAGTACTGGATTTAACTCATTAAAACCCGATGGGAGCGCTGGCTTTGTATGTCAAATTATCGTGACTCTTGAACCACTGGCACAATTTTAAAAAATTCCAATTGCTAGGGTCATTACAGTAATCCTAGGCGGGGTGCAACATCCAAATATCTGCAAATAAAACAAGACAACACAGCAAACAGCAAAAACAAAACAAAACAAAAACAACTTAAAACAGACAAATGCCTGATAAAATGTCCGTTTTCTCCTTTCATCACACTCACTCTCTCTTCTCTCAAGTGACCTTTGCCTTCGTTGGGCTGCTGCGAGACTTGAATTTACCGTAATGACCCTAATATCACAGAAAAGCGTAGAGCTGGTGCTTTCAGGAACCGCTGGAATCTTTTCAACTGAGCAAATGGTTCAGAAGTTACAGGAGTTACAGACGTTGAAAACAAACGTCATCTTCTCCACTCTGTCCCACATAGCAAAATTGGTATGGCCCGGATCTGGCCCACACAGTGTGCTTACACATGGCCCACATACCGCAAAGAATGACGGCCCTTTGGTGGCCCAGATCAGGTTTGCCAGAGGTGGGCCAGC